GGAGAGGATGCGGGGTTGCAGGGGAGGGGATAGGGTGCTGCAAAATAGATTTTAAAATAGTTAAAATAATTAGGTAAAATGCTACATGTCATTTATTCATTGGATAGTTTTTCTTAAATTTAAAATTCATTGTTTAAAAGTTATTTTGAATAAGGGCTGATTTCGCGGAAATCCTTCTGGATTTGGATTTTTCTAGACGTGAAGTTGGTCGATTAAATTTCAAATTTGTCTGAAATTCTTTCCAAGTAAGCGTTAATCTTTGTTTCCTTTACTTTTCATTTACATTTTGCCCTATTTTTCGTTTAAAATATGCCTAATATTAAAGAAAAATGGAGATTTTACGTGTTTTTACCTTTGTAGCTTTATGATGTGGCAAAAAATCACTTTCTCACACGCCTAGTAAAGTGTGTTGTCAATTTCTACGCCAAGTGGACAATAAAGGTGTACGCGATGGAGGAATAAACAAGTTCGGGGGTAATTAAAACGGAATATAGTTTAGATGTACACCGAATAAAAAGCTTCAAGTTCAGGGGGATAATGAATACTTTTGCCAATAATAATTGATATACAAGTCCCTACATGTTTACTAATAAACACTCATTTCTAAAGTCTTTCAAGAATTCTTGCAAGTTATTCTAGAGTTTTTCCAAGAATCTTCAAGGCTAGCATACTTATGCTTCCATATGAACAATTTTATAAATAATTGGTATGATTAAGTGGCGGGTCATGACATAGTGATCAAAAAGCTTTGAAAGAATTCAATTTCAGCCATATTAGAAGAGACTAAAAAATAAGGAAAATTTAAATGTGTTTTTTTTTATCCTTAACTCCTTATTTAATCAAAAAATGAAAAACTTAGAATGCATATATATTTGACGAATGCATATTCTTTTAAATAAGTACAAGCAATTAGATGAGATGAGAACATCTTCTAAATATTTACCCAATCTTATCTTTTAAGAATTTCAAACAAATATTGTGTATCGTATTTTGTATTCCAAATATTAGTATCTTCATGGCTTGATCACTTTGGGTTGTATGAGTAAATTGGTGTTTTATATTGGCTTTTGCACTTTTATCTAACTAATTTGGTGTACATATATTGAACGAGTGTATCACATCAAACATATATATATTAAAATTATTGAAAATAATAATTAACATTCAAATAAATGTAATGTTTGTGTAAATGATGGAACAAATGATATTACACAACTTCTTAATACAAATATGATAGAATTTAGTTAGTATTTGTATCTCACTACCATTAACCACTATTATCACAATCATCACTAATAATTACCGACAATCATCATCATCACCGTTGTCATTCACCACTACCACCTATCACTTTTATCCACCACAACTATTAGCCGCCAACACCAATTACTATCACCGTCAACTACTACTGTCAACACAATGACTACTAACTACTATCATATTTCTTTTAATTAATTAGGAGACTATTCAATGGATAAACAACAATACATCCATACAATTGATGAATGATTGAGTTACATAGTAATGTCCAGATCATGCTTATTTCTTGCTTATATTTGAAAATTTCTAATTATTGGATGTTGTTAAAGCTGGACAAGCAACCAATTTTAATGACCCAAACAAAAATAAATCATTTGTTTATTAGACGACAAGTAATATGTATATATATTATGGACGCATAAACAAATGGAAACTGCAGCCATCAAGTAGAATAATTCACTTATCTTCTAAGCCTTTTTTTAGCATAACCATCTCCCCACGTCTATATATGTACGTAACCATAACAAAAAAAAATTACTGAAATTCGAACTCGTGACACTATGATTTTAAATTGTAGTATTTCAACCACTACACGCTCCCTTGACAAATGTAAATTTTTTAGTTATTTATTTCGTTGGACATAAATAAAAAACAACTTTCGAATCTCTATTTTTTATTTTTATTTTTATTTTTTGCATGTATTTAAATACGTAATATAATTTGTTTATGATATACTAAAAAGTGACTCATTAATTATAAGACTTTAATTTGACACATAAGCTAGACTTCTTGTATAGTCCAGTCTTGCAAGCCAGAAGACCAGCTCATTTGCCTGTTTTGCACATTATGACCATATCTAAGTGATCTTCACTAATAATCACATAATTAATTAGTCAAATTATGCTCAATTTATCATAGAAATAACCTAAAACAGTACCCAATTAAGTTAATTGTTTTTATGTCAAATTGGGTAAATGCATTAAGAGACATTAACGATAAATCTCTCTTGACTTTGAACCACTAGCTTTGTATTTTAATCGACGTGGCCTAAAAAACGATATTAAATCAATTTTATCAAGTGTAAAAAAAATATATGATAAATATTATTAATATTGATAAATTTTAAGTGATATTGATTAAATGATTTAAATTTTTGCTCTAAAATATATTATAAGATATATTTGTGTGGTGGTAAATTATCTTTTCTCGCAAATCTAATGTGAAGAGGTCATTGGTAGGGGTGTCAATGGTACGGTTCGGTCGGTTATTTTTTAACAATTATACCATCCCAATTTTTCCAGATATTTTATAATATATAACTAAAATTAGTCTTTTTAAAACCATTCCAGTCATATAGGTTTATATTCGGTATCGGTACGGTTCGGTTAATTTTTTTGGTTTTTTTCACTTTTAAAATATCACCTCAAAATATACTACTATTAATATATTTCTTTGACAAATATGTTCTTGAAGAAACACTTTGATTCTTCACCAAAAAGACAAGAATGTAAAACCTTGTTGCCATATTGTTTGATATTAAATATTTAATAGGAGTGTTTGGATAGGTTTTGTTGTATTGTTTGATAGAGTATCTAAGTAGTATCTTTTAATTTTAAACTTAATTAAGTAAAGGCTAATTAAAGAGCAAAGACTCAAAGTCGTCTAGTCACCAGAGACCTAGGACCTAAGTTATATTTATATTTGAAAAATGTTATAAAATATTATTTATATATTAAATTTAACATATTGTTAATATATAAAATATATTTACATGTAAGGTTATTCGATTCGGTTCGGGAATTTTTTGATTTTTTTTCTTAAATTAAAAAGACCATTCCAATTGTTCAGGACGGCTATACACTTAAATAAAAGTCCACGGTTTTATTGAAAAAATAGCATAAATCGGTTCGCTTTGGTTGGTTTGGTCGATTTTTCATATTCTTTTGACACCCCTAGTCATTGGGATGTCCATAATTAAAGTACTTTTCTTCATCGACAAATGACTTTTTACTCAAAATAGTTATAAAATTTACACAAATATTACCAACATTCAAAGTAATAAAACATAACTAAAGAATATAAATTTAAAACTAAAAGAAATAGCTAAAGTGAGTCTCATAGTTTCAAAAAAAATTGTACACTAATTAAATTAAAGTAGAATAAAAAAAATTATTTCCACAATATCCTTGCTGAAACAAGTACGTTGATATAGAGGTGTCTGCTTCAGTCTCAAACTATAGAATATATATAATATAATATAATATAATAATAAGAGAATACTAACCAATTTGCGAATACATTGAGAATATCTTTGTCAATGTTTTAAATATTTATTTCCCAAATATAATCAATGAATTTAAACGGTGAAAATAACCTTTTATAAAATACATGATAAAATTGAGTATAATATAGGTAAAATAATTTGATCTTTCCTTTACCTAATAAAAACTTAATACACTGAACTATCGCAATATTAATACATACTTCAAAACAATGATGTATTGGATCATCAATGAATGGCTAACAAATTTAATTCTCATCTTACAATAACTTGTTCTCCAAGAAAGTTACACTTGTTACATCATCATGGGCAGGCTCAAGCTACTTTTTAATTGACTTAACTTCCTATATCCTGTTTGGAGCGCTACCTCCGAATGGGTCCTACAGTGCGCGATTCAAATTTAGTCAGAGCTTCAATGTGAGCTTCGGACACCGAATGAAAACCAAGAAAAAAACTTCCTTAGTGTTGTTATTGAACTGCCATATCTGTAAAGTCTACTTTCCACAAGAAAAACCTTGTGATAAAGAAAAATCTGGTAAAAAAGGAGTAAGAATTTGTTATTACTTTTACATAGAGGGGAAACTACTTTAGCCAAAATTAGGGGGAAAGGTTGAAGGTTGCTTTCTGAATTTTATTTTTTAGCTACTCCTACTATTTTTGTCTCAGTCAATTATTCTTGTAATTCCTCGTTTCAATTTATTTGTCTCATTTTTTATTTGACACTAAATTTAAGAGAATAAAAAAAAAAGTTTTCAATCTTGTGGTCTTGAACTAAAGATGTAAATGTATCAAAATGTCCTTTAATCTTTGTTGTCTTATACATGACATATGAATAGTTAAAACTAAATAGTTGTAAAAAAGAAAAAAGAAAAATCTGTTTTAAACGGACTAAAAAATAAAAGCAAGACAAATAAATTAAAAACGGATGAAGTATCTATTATTAGTAACCATTATTGAAATTTTCTTTCACCTTCTATATTGATTTTTGTGAGAGATTAATTAGGTTGAAGGAGGCGTCTTAGAGTTTCAAATTTCACAAGTAAAACTCAAAAATAGTACTAACTCCTTTTCAAAATTGACTATTTGTGAATTTTTCGGGTGAAGGGGAAAGTGCCTATCTTGACCGACCAACTTCCAAAATATTCTGAATTGGGTCGGTCTATCAACAATAGCGAAGTCATGAATTTCCTTTGAGAGTTTTTAGAAGTATACAATATAATTTTTCGACGATAAGTGGAAAAGCATGTTGGCAAACTTAAAAGCAGGGCAGCCAAAACAAACAAACTTAAGCAGCAGAAACTTATAAACTAACTTTCCTTGAAATAATAGCGGAAAGAAACACAACTTAACGTTTGTCTTTCCTCTTCATTTCCACAAAAACGTGTACTCTAAGCTCACTTTCCCCTCTCTCCCTATATATATTTCTAACTATTTTTTTTTATGAACACAACAACACGATAAAAGAGATTGAAAAATGGATCGTAGATCATCGATAGAGAGTGAAGGAAGTGTTCATTTAGAGATAAATGGGATGTTAAGTTTAACAGAAAGTGGTGTTCCAACTATCTTTGAACCTCATAGTACAATTGAGACAAAGAATAGCAGTACATCAAATTCTGTTTCTCCGAAAAGGGGAGTGGTTCGTGCACCGGAGAAAAAGATTACTCTTTTTGCTCTAAGGCTAGCAGTGTTGGAAAAGGCAGCAACTGGACTAGGGACACTTGGTTTCATATGGGCAACAGTTGTGCTTCTTGGTGGCTTTGCGATCACTTTAGACACAACAGACTTTTGGGTCATAACAACTATTCTGTTGATTGAAGGAACAAGAATCTTTAGTAGGAGTCATGAGCTTGAGTGGCAGCATCAGGTAACATGGTCTATTGCTGATGTGGGGATCAGCAGCTTTCGCGCGATTAAATCAAGTACAAGGAGCATTGTCAAGGCTGCAAAAGCAGTTTTCAAGCCTTTTTCTGATGTTACAAAGGCAAGCAGTAGGGAAATTGGAAGGAATTCACAACAGACAGCTCGTGGGAAATGGGATAAGCAGAGGGTGCCAACACGAATGTGGACTAGTTCAGAGGTTCCTCTGCTTCCATATGCGCGATGGATGTTCATAGCAAGAAATGTTAGTAAGATGTTGTACTGGCTCCAAATATTATCTGCAACAGCATGTTTGGTGCTTTCGTTGATGAAGCTTGTTTTGAGGAACTTTGGTGAAGTGGCCAAAGGAGATACCGACAAGAAGAACAGGAAAAGTGCTCTACTTATATTCTATTCCCTCGCGTTCACGGAGGCATTGCTTTTTCTCTTGGAAAAAGCATATTGGGAATGGAAGATCAACTTTTGTAGACTGTTGGAGGAGGTGAACAAAGAATGTGAATTGGGGCCATCAGGTATGACTTGTGTTAGGAGGTTCTTTTATGATGCTTATTCAAGATGTGTTAATGGGAGCATATTTGATGGTCTTAAGATGGACATGGTTTCATTTGCTATGGAACTCCTAGCCTCTAGCTCACCAGATGAACAGCTTATTGGTGCTCAAATCCTAAGAAAATTTGCTACGAGTCCACGATATTGTTATGACACCCTTCAGAAGATTGGAACAGACATAATAGTAATGGAGAGGTTGGTTGAGATGTTGAATTGGAAAGACATCCAAGAAGAAGAGTTGAGGCTATCAGCAGCAGAGATCATATCGAAGATTACTGGTAAAAAGCAAAATTCTCTTCGTGTTGCGGGGATACCTGGTGCTATGGAGTCCATATCTTCACTTCTTCAAATCAGCAGGATGCCAACTGGAGCCAGTGATGAAATCTGTGAAAAGAGGATCATCTTTGACAATGAGAACTATGGATTTTGGACATTCAATCATTTGGGGCTGCTCATTCTGAAGAAACTTGCTCGCGACCACGACAACTGTGGGAAGATTGGCAATACTAGAGGTCTTCTGCCCAAAATCATAGAGTTCACACAAGCAGGAGAGAGATTACTAAGAGAGGAATCATCCACACCAACACAAATATTAACGCTAAAACGGTCTCTCCAGGTCGTGAAGATGCTTGTAAGCACAGCAGGCGCCACAGGTAAGGAGCTAAGAAAAGAAATTTCAGAAATAGTCTTCACCATTAGCAATATCAGAGACATATTAAGATACGGAGAGGGACACCCTACTTTACAACAATTGGGAATAGAGATCTTGAAAAGTTTGGGATTGGAGGAAGATGCAACAGAGAGAATTGGAGGCACCGGTGGAATCCTTAAGGAATTGTGCAATATCTTCCTCAAGGAGGCCATGTCAAATCATCATGGTCATGTAAGAACTGCAGCAGGAGAAGCCTTAGCTATGCTGGCACTTGAAAGCAAGAACAACTGCCATAGGATATTGAAACTGAAGGTGACTGGCAAGCTTGTCCAAGCATTGGAAGTTCCATTGCTTCGAATAAATGCAGCAAGAATCCTGAGAAACTTGTGTGTCTACAGTGGAGAAGGCTACTTTGAAGAATTGAGGGAACTTGCTTCTGCAGGACCAACTGTAAGTACCACAAAAACTTATTCATTCAGTTCCTACTTAATCGAATTTCTCAAACCAGAAATAAACATAACTTTATAACCATTTCAGGTACTCAAAGCAATCATGACAGAGGAACACAAGTTACAAGAAGTAATGATGGGACTAGGCGCGCATATATTCAAGTTTATAACACCAGAGGAATCAATCATCATGTTCCAAAGCGCGAAAATTCAAGAATCTGAATTGGCTGCAAAACTTGTTGAGATTCTTAGGAAGCATCAACATCCATCAATAAAAGTTCCAAGAATTAGGAGGTTTGTCATGGAGTTGTCAATCTGGATGATGAGGGATAAAAGAACAAACATTCAAGTGTTGGGAAATCTGGGAATGGAGACAGAGCTCGAGTACATCATAGAAACAACATCAGAGCTAGAGAGCTTTAATGTTTTCTCAGGAACAGTTGGAATGAATCGACACAGCGTGACAATCCACTCACTGGTTGATACTGCAATGAAGTTGTTGGCTGGTGAAAATGAATGATAGAAGCCTCAACAGTTGTTGCATCAACAATGTATATCAATGGAAGGCAATAATGTTGTACATATTGAAGTATGTGGTAGATCATTGATCTTTTTCTATAATTTAATATTTATGTATAGAACTTGTAACATAAAACATTAAGAGATATTATTTCGTGATTTTACAACAATTTCCCTGTTTTCCAATGTAATACTACTTTATTGCTTCAAGGAATACAAACTTTAATTAGATTGAAACGTACTTGGTTTGGATTGATATTAAAAGGTTCAATATCAAATTTGAAATCATTTAGAGTTGATTTGGATCAATTTAAAGCAATTGTTCCTTGGTGAAATTTAGGTGCAAGTCTTGTGTTCCGTCAAGACTTGTGAACAATTTGTTCCAAAGTTGCAACAAAACTTGTACCAGTCTCAGGACTTTTAACATAGTTGTTTCTAAATTATGATAAGCATTGCTTACCTGCAAATCGAAAAAAGACTTCAAACAAATAAAATCATCATTAACAGGATTTCAGACACCTCAAAAGGTAAAAACAATGTTTCATGTTGAATGATTCAAAGTTGTTCCATTTGCCATACAATACACAAACACTTTAAAAAGGAATGAAGCAGAAAAACTTGACAGCGCTACCAATTCCAATTTTGTCGAGAAAAATTGTGCAAATCACATGTACATAAACAAAACACATTCTGCTCAGTCCATAATTTACAACAAACAATGGGCCTAATTACTTCACAGGGCTGAATCCTTGTACACAAAGAAGGAAGACCTATGTAAACTAGTGACAAACGAACCCAACCCCCCTTCAATTCCCACAACCACCTGCCCCAACTTTCTCATCACTCCTGACAGAAAGAACAAATATTTACTCCCCCCAAAAATGTACATCCAGCAAACAGCAAATTTGTATAACCACTATAACTTTTTCTGCTACCCGTAATCCGTTCCAAATGTATCTTTGTAAAAAGTCAATCTTTCATATCATTATTTGTTCTTGAAGAAGTTGAGATCCCAACGACGCCACAAACCATCCATGACATTACTTGTTGGGTTCTTTACAACAGTCACAGTAGCTTTAGTACCATCAACCGTGTCAACACTGGACGAACTTTGATTGCTGACAAGCTTCTCACGATGAGAAGCTCCATTGCATTCCACTTCTTTCACTGATGAAGTACTACTAGCTGGAGTTACTGATACTTTTTTAGTATCTGGAACTTGGACTTTGGCGTCTGAATCGTGCTCATTAAAAACTACGGCACTAGCACTAATTTCTTTTGAGGGGGTACATTGCTTTGCAGTAGACAACTCCTCTCTAGTGTCCTGCAGAGGTTGAGGAAGTTCTATGACAGCATCTGAGGACGCTTGTTCAGCCAGAGGAGGTTTAACCTCCAGGTCCTTTAAAGACTCAAGTACTGCTTTCATTAACATCTGGTTTTTTTTCACCAGTCAAAATGTCAAAGCTGAGGAAGAATACTGAAGCCAATACTAAAGTGATGCAATTCTGTAAAATTCAGCATACTTACCCTTTCTTCTTCATCTACATTACTTGGAAAATCTGCCATATTATCAAGTGGGTATTCCACATAGTCATCATCATCTATTGATGCAGGAACATTGGGACCAAATGGATCACCATTGGAAAGTTCAAAGCTGATCATTTTTGAAGATGATGGGGCAGAGTAGGTTCCAGTACCTTCTTCCTAAAGAAGGAAAAAAAGTATGAAATAGTTATACAACAACACAATTTACTTTTGCCAAGCCATACTAACATTTCAGACCCGGAAAAGTAACAAGGGCATCTGTTATCAATTATATTCTATTGGAGGCCAACTTGCCAAGAAACATGAAATTTCCATAAATTCTTAAGACGGACAAACTATTCCGGTTAGAGTGTGATATTTCAAGTGAATGATGAATGGAAGAGCATTTGAGGAATATAACATTCTAAGAAAGTTTTCGCTGTCTAATTTCCATAGTAAAATAAATCTGAGACTTGTGGGATTACCTGGTCTGCAGTTTGGTTATCCTGAGCAGATATATCAGAAGGGACCTGAACAGAATTAAATAAAAATGAGACATCAAATATAGGATACACTATTACCAAAGAACTTATCTTTTGGCAAAGTTGTGCTCACCAATGATTACATTAACTTAACAGACTGCAAACATGCAACACAGACTTACTAGAAGAATGGTTTCGTAAGACCACGTGGACACACATAGAAGCCTAACCACTTGAATCCAACCAAATACATTAACTGGGGTTAGCACAGCTCACAGTTGAAAATAAATAAATAATTTCTCTTTTATCCTCAACATCTCTTCTTTTTTATCTCATCCCCCTTATCCCCCATGGCAGAGCTACCTTGCTTAAAGGGATGTCATTTAACACCCCTGGAAAATTACATTGTAGATAGGTAAAAAAAAAATGTATACTATATGTTGAATCCTCTCGGCTTTTTCGTGTGAATACTTCTTTATATTTTGACTCCCCTTAGTGAAAATCATGGCACTGCCACTGCTTCCCCCATCCACTATCCCTTGGAATTCTCCCTGTAGATGCCTACCCCTTCCCTTCCCTTTATGTCACCAGAAACTATCCCTGGAATTCTCCCTGTAGATGCCTACCCCTTCCCTTCCCTTTCTGTCACCAGAAACTACCCCTTAAGTATTCTTGCCTCGGACCACTCCTTTTCCATCACGAAAACCCTCAGCATCATGGATCTCTCCGCTAAATCTCTTCTTACAAAATAAAAGAAGGCAAGCATCATATAACCTTCAACAGAATGTTCGCAACCTTGACTTCAGAAAAGCCAAGTAACGTTGGAAAGGTTCAACGAACATCGAGAAGAATTCGCTTGCACCCGTAGACAATAGGTATACATAAGGCATAGGGTCTTCGTGATGGCCTTCTTGGGAGCCATGGTCTTCCCAATGAGATATCATTCCATCAACATCAACATTTTACCAATAGTTATGAACCTCTTCGCAAAGCCGCAAAGACATTCCTTGGTGCATATGATTCTTGCCGAGGTATTTCGGTCGTTATCACAATGCACAAGACGGCATAACTTCTTTGGAGGCTGCATCCTATTCTTACAGATCTGGGCAATAGAACATTTTTCTCGTGTCATCCGCAAATGGACTACTGCATAGATGCCCATAACAGGATCCAGAGCCACGAGATCGCCTCAGACATTGGAATGTGCCCACTGGAGAGAAAAAGTGGCGCACGTTTTTGACCTGCCTTACTAGAGATTCCATCCGGTGGAAATATCCTTGGATGGCGTTTGTCAAGACTCGGCACTTGTACTTTATCAAGTTGATCGGGTTAGGAGGCATTCAACCATATGCGCCTCTTTGAGTTTTGCACCAATTTGAAGTTGTCCAATACATTACATGGAGATGGTTTTACCTCAATCCCAGCAGCACAGGTAAGGAACTTGCAATCAGAATGGGATTACATGATTCCATTGAACATAGGAGAAGAAAGATGGTGCACGCCAATGTATTACGCATGGCGAACCACTGTGAGCCATCTGACTCAACCAAAAGTGCAGAGGAGATCATAGGGTTTGCAAACAACCAATGGGTCGATAAGGTTAGAGAATAAGTACTTCCTCTCATGGAACTCACCACGCCTATGTACAATCAGAGAGTTCCTAATTAATATAGGTGGTTGAGGAAGAAGAGGATCTTGAAGAGGACCCGGAAGAAGATTCAGAAGAAGACCCAGAAGAGGATCCTGAAGAGGAAACAAAAGAAGATCTAGAAGAGGATCCCAAGGACCCAGAAGAAGATATGTAGAAGACCATAGAGAAGGTTCAGAAACGGGTTCCAACATCTATAATCCGAGAGATGGAGGAGTGATAGACACGGCACCTGAGTATAACCTCAATGAGTCTCCAAAGTACCACTCAGGGCCATACTATGATATATGAGTGATTACGACGATGACAATGATGCTTCAACATGGCCTTAGGTTATTTTTTCCCATTTATACTTTATCATATTTCCTCAAAGAGATGTATGATCCATCTCTTTTGTGTGCCTTGTGGCCACCCCTGTACTTCCATTTCTTAGGCTTTTACTCGCCTACTTCATTTGTAAGATCCAAACCGCCTTTGATGAATGAAAGTTATGTTTTGTTCCAAATTCAAAATGTGTGTAAATGGATCATTTATCATCAAATAGATTGCAATGTAGGCCTACCTCTAGCAAAAAGAGACTCCATATTAGGACGCATTTTGAATGTCGCCAACTTGGCATATATACGTGTTACAAATTTGTTACATCTTTCAACATCTCCCAAACTAACATGGTTCCCTTTTCTTTCTTTTTGTTCATCATTATTCCCCAAAAGAACATTGATTTGTATCGACTTGCAAACTGACTCACGATACAACCTTCGATTTGTTTCTGACAAAGAAGAATTCAACGTTGTTGCAAACATAATGATACCTATAGAGAGCCCCTAGAGTTCTCAAAATATAGCAGATATCCAAACATGGCACAGGAGCTTGAGATCCTAAGGGAGGAATTACGTTAAGTGCGAGACTTGGCCAAACTTTTGGCCACCACTTCCCCAACTTTCAAGATGCCCATCTATTTCTCAAAAATTGACTTACCTTCTACTGACTTAGCCTAAACAAACTCAGTATGCTCCTACTCATGGTCAAGCCCCACCAGCTTTTTTTTTTTTTTTTTTTTTTTTTTTTTTTTGAAACTGGTAAGGTTGTATTCTTCAGCATTAAGGGCATGCTGGCCACCACCAAAAAGTGTCAATTACAAACTTCCTATCAAATCTACAATCTGATCTGTATCTACTATACACAACTGTTTACACCAAAAAAGTAGAGATACTATACAATTCCATTTGACCTTGTGTATGGAATTGGATCTATTGTCAAAACATCTACTGTTCCTTTCCCACCAGCTTCTCCATCAGCAGTCAGGGCTTTCCTTTCCTGACCTTTCTACTCAAGACCTGCCATACCTACCAACTTGGCAATGCAACAGATATTTGGGGCACACATCGTCGCTCCTTAC